ATATTTGTTAAATTATATATATATATATATATACAGAAAAGACAGATCATCCCAAGAGCCACCATGAACAAGTTATAACTGCAATGACTTAGAAAACCACTGGGAAGGTCTAAATAAATTCAGAAATTAAAGACTGGAGTTTACAACCATGTTGCAATAGCCCTGAAATGACAGCAGGTGTTTTGATAAGACAATAGGTAAAAATCAAACAAAGGTATATATATATATATTTTTGTACTGGGGATTGAACCCAGGGGTGCTTAACCACTCAGCCACATACCCAGCCCTTTTTATGTTTATTTAGAGACAGGGTCTTGTTGAATTGCTTCGGGTTTCACCAAGTTGCTAGGGCTGGCTCTGAACTTGTGATCCTCCTGCCTCGTCTCCTTAGCTGCTAGGATTCCAGATATATGCACCACGATGCCTGGCAAAGGTGTACATTTTGTCTGTATGGGCCCAACTCCCTCTTACCCAGAGATGTCCTGCTTTTCTGCTAACCAATATCCCAGGAGATCTGTGTTTCTCAGCCTCACCTGAGACTTTGCAGCATCAAGGAGTACTGCTGCTTCACACACTGGGCCTTTGCCTTCCATTGTTGGCTTCTCTTCTCTGCCTGGTGCTCCAAAGCCGTCTTTCCAGACCGATGCCTATATCAGCTTCACTCACACTTTGCCAGTCATTCCTTGGGCCCCCAGTGTGCCATCTAGCTAGATATCCTTCACTAAAGTGGTTCTGAGGGCTCACCAAGAACGTGCATGTTCTTTCCTGTCCTGCCCCTGTCTTTATCTTACTTAGATTCTCTGATTCATCTGATACAGATGATTGCCTCTCCTCTCAGTCTTGGTTTCTCTTTCTCTTTGTTTCTAGCTCTCCTTCAAAGTCTCCTTTTCCTTGACCTGCCACTTAGATATTGCTGCTCCTCTTATCTCCTCTGTCTGTAGCCCTCTCAGGGCAACCTCACACACATGCTACTAACGCCCACATCTCTGGCCCCACTAACTCAACACCTCCTCCTTCAGTCTCATAAGAGTCTCAAACTCAACAGATGCAAAATGGAAACTTGGTCAACAGTTCTGCACACACATCTGTTTCTCCTCTGATCCATATTGGGATTCTCCAGGCATCAGGCTGGAAACCCAGAAGACACGAAGGCTTTCTTTGCCTACAGCTTCATCACCATGTCCTGCTGGCTGATCCCTTGGTCTTCCCAGTCTGCCCCTTGTCAATCTAGAAGGACTCTAAAGAATACTGAGTTTATTGGTATACACCTATAACCCCAGCTACTTGGGAGGCTGAGGCAGGAGAATCTCAGGGATAGCCAAGGCAACTTAGTGAGACCCTGTCTCAAAAATAAAATAAAAATAGCTGGGGATATAGTTCAGTGGTAGAGTGCTTCCCTACCATGGGCAAGGTCCTCAAATCAATACCCAGAACTGCATTAAAAAAAAGAAAAAAGAAATAGTTTATTCAGGAATGAGTAGGGGATTTGCAAATCTGCAATCTGTGTGCTATGATGGATCATAGACCCATTGGAGGAGGTTATTGCAAAGTGAAAAATTTTAAGGCAGAAGGACGTCCACCATGTAAAGTGTTTTAAACAAGAATCACTAGTATTTAAAAAATAATAATAAAATCATTAAAAAAAAAAAAAGAATCACTGGTCTCAGAGTTCACTGCAGGAGCTTCATTAGCTGACTGGTAGTATTGGCTGTTACTAGGAATTTGTCTTCATTGAATTGACCTTAACAAAGTTGTGTTTAACAAAGCTACTTGCAAGATTGTGGTTAGATTTGGCAAAGTCTCTCGTGATCGTTCTTGCTATAAGGCAAATAGGCACGAGGACCCTGCTGGCTCCGTTTAGTTTCATTTTGACATAAGTCACTCCATTTTGGTGCTAACTCCTTATATACTCCCATATATCCATCCTTTTGGCCTCCTTGACAGTTTCTAGTCTCAAGGGTGCAAAGTCATCCTCCAGGCCACTCCCAGAATAGCATTGGGTAAATCTCACAACCCCAGGAGCTATTTAAATCCATTTTACAGATCAAACTGAAGCTCACAGAGATTGTGAATGTGTCCTAGGTCAGAGGTGTTGAAGCCATTGGTCAAAACTCAAAATTCATGCTCCACTGAAGTGAAAATCTAGGATATTCAGGCTGATCACTCACACACCACTGCTGACCACTACTCATTTCCTCTTGAAATGCTTTTTTGGGGGGCTTCAGGTATTAACAGTGTCCATGGTTTCCTCTCACTTCTCAGGACACTCTCTTAAATGAAGACCTCCTTTATTTCCCCTGGAACCATGCTTCCACACCCCTCCCATGGCTTCACTTACCATCTCCCTCAGGAGATTCAGGCCCACACAGTCACTTGCTCAGATGTCCCCCACACACCTCTGATGATATTTCCAAATATGAACGATCCCCACCCCTCACCTTCAACTTGCTCCTCCTCTAGGATGCCCCATCCCAGTGAATGCACTGCCATTTATCTACCCAGCTTCCTGGGCCAAAAACCCAAGCACCATCCACACTCCACACATGCTCATTCACCTCCTGAATAGCGCTCAAATTTATGTCTTGTATCCATCTTGGCTCAGGATACATCATCTCTTGCCTTCTTGACTGCCAAAAAAATTACCTCTTTACCTTATCTCTTTGACAGGCTAACTCACACTCTACCCTGCAGCCAGAGTCATCTTTCAAAACTGCAGATCGAACCATAGTGTTTTTTGGTATAAAACCCTTCAATGAAAGAGTTAATGTTTTATACAATTTTAAGTTATCAACTTAAGAGGCTGGGGTTGTGGCTGAGTGGTAGAGCGCTGGCCTAGCATGTCCAAGGCCCTGGGTTCGATCCTCAGCACCTCATAAAAATAAATAAATAACATAAAGGTATTGTGTCCAACTACAACTAAAAAATAAATATTTTTAAAAAGTTATCAACTTAAAAAAGAATAAATGTGTTGAAAATGTAGTACCAATAAATGTGTTAGAAACTACAAAGTATCCCTGGGCATGGTGGCACATGCCTATAGTCCCAGCCTGAGCAAATTAGCAAGAGCCTGTGTCTCAAAATAAAATATAAAAATGGCTAGGGATTTGGAGTGGTAGAGCACCCCTGGGCTCAATCTTTAGAACTAAAAAAGAAAGAATATTAGTCATTAGTACTTACTGAAATAAAAAAAAATTTAAAAGTCAACACCCTTTTATTGCTCTACATTCCTCTCAGGATAAAGTCCAAACTGCAGGCTGCAAAGTCTTCATGAATCATGCAGCTCCTTCTTTATCATTTTTGTGTTTGCTCTCACTCTCTCAAATACAATTCCTCTACCATAATGGAGGCCTATTACCTTCCTCTCACCCCAGAAAACTGAGGTATTGTCTCTCTACCCTAATTCATCTACTGCTCCCTAACTCCCCTGCTTCTGGGTTCAATGCCCCCTCCCCAGGATTCCTGCAGCAGCACCCATGCCCATCTCCTTTATAACTAAAGGTCCATGACAAAAGATATGGTAACTCCTGTCTTGTCTTCTTCATGGTGGTATCTCAATAACTGGGCACAATAGGTGTTCAACAGTGATAAATGAAAGGCTCTTGTCACATAATAGGAAATGTGACATGCTCAAGGCCTATCCCTTGAGCATACATCCACAGGATAAAGTTCAGTGGGCTCAGAGTGCCTCATCCCAGGACAGGTTAATCCTTCTCAGCTCCTTCCAGCCCTTCTCCAGCCCTTCTCCCTCCAGCAGTTCTCTTAGGTGCTGCTTCCCCAAGGCTCCCTCTGGTATTGCACTTAATTTGTTTCAAGGCTGAAATCCTTCACCTCTGGACCCAGGATGACAAAAATTATCTTTTTAATATCTTTCTTTTCACAGCACAGATTGGAACTATTATTGACTCAATATTTGTTGAATAAACTAATAAAGCCCATAATATTTATAATTTTTCAGGTCTATGAACACAGACCAGATGCTAAATATATATATGCCAGAAGCATCGATTAACCTCTAGTAGGTAAATTAAAAAAGGCAGATAATTAAGATTTTTGTCAATGGTAGATAGCACACCATTTGCGAGTGGACTTTTCTTTCTACCCTCCCTCCCTCTCTCTTTCCCCCCTCTCCTTCCCTTCCCCTCACCCCTTTCTGGTGGCCTTTTGCCCATGCTAAACATGTGCTTTACCACGGATCTACACCTCCAGCCTTCAAGAATAGACTTAATTTTTAAAAAATGCTCAATTATTCATGGAAAATAAGATGAATAATTTATTTCTTTTTTAGGTGTGAGAGGGGTAGGGCGAATAAAAGAGAAAAGAACACAAACACAAAGGTAACAATAACAGTTTGCAAAATGATTCTACAAGTAATTCCTATTCTACAAAAATATCCTAAATCCAATTCAGATCTGGAGGTGAAGGCTGGAGGGATAGAAAAAGGTAAGCAGATTTTCAAAATCATGAAGGTAGAGCTGCTGCGGCTGCCTTTAAATTTCTTAAAAAAAAAAACAAAAACAAAAAAGCTAGCCACCTCATCTAGCTAGCTACCCAATTCCTAGGGCCCGCCCCCAGCATAGCCACACCCCCGCCTTCACCAATCACCGGCGAGGATTAGGAGAGAACGCCCTGGGGGACCGCCGGCCTCGCCCACCAACACCTCCGCCTCCACCAATGGCGGCTGGGCGGCTCGCAGGCTGCAGCCAGTACGGACCGCAAGGGGCGTGGCGTCTTTGGCGCCCGCGAATCCGCCGGCCACTGCTGGTCAAGAGGCTGCGCCCCGGAGGAGCCTAAGCGGTGGCCCACTGGCTTCCTGGGGCAACCCTGGGACGGCTCGCCGTGGCTACTACGGCTCCTCAGGCTCAGCGCGATCCCTGGCCTTGCTATGGTTCAAAGCTCTGCCCGGCTGCCCTCTCATCTATCGCTCCAGGACTCGCACTCGGAACAACTTCTGGTACCGCGCACGGTGCTGGGCCCGCGCGGGCACACTCCCCGACACCTCGTCCCGGCCGCCGCAATACCGCCGCTCTCCCCAGACGTCGACCCAGCCCGTCCCAGGGTTTGGGCGGCAGCTCCTCCCGTCCCGCCTTGCGTTAATCCCACAGCCCAACTTTACCACTCCGGCCACGTCCCAATCCTGCGCGCCATCTGACTGTGCCGAGGGTCCCCCTAGAGCCTCGAATCCGCCCGAGCTGGCGGCCTCGGAACCCCTTCCTTCCCTTCTCGCAGGCTCCTCACCATAAGTGTCTCCACCTTGTCTCCGACATCTTGGGGAGGCAGCAGGGCTGCGCGCACCTTCTGATTCATTGGAGAGGAGAACAGCGAGAGCTCGGGGCCGGGTGCCTCGGTGGCCGCGAGGCCCGGCCCTGGAGACTGTGGACGGGAGATGAGTCGACGCGGTAGCCGGGCAACGCGTCGGGGTCTCCGGAAGAAGGAGCCCCGAGCTCCCAGCGCCTGGCTGGCCTGCGCGTCCCAGCTACGTCCACGCCCGGACTTTGCGCGGAAGCTACTAGCCCTTCTTCACTAGCTCCGCAGGCTGCGTGACTCGGCTCTCCAGCCTACCTTACCCATCCCGCCCAGCCGAACTCGGCAGCGCTAGAGGAGCACCGTCCTACGTGTACCCGGGAAGAGAAAGCCCGGTGAACCCAATGGAAAGGCACGACGGAAAGATTTCCCTTCCGGGTGCTTCGCTGGGTCACGCCCCTGGTGAGCGTGTCTTTAGTGCCACCTTGTGGAAGCTCATAGAATTACCGCTATTCTTGCCTGGGCCTGTTGAAGGAGGATACAGAGGGAGACAGAGAAATTAGCTCAGGGGCGCTCTTACAGTGAGCTACACCCCAGCCCCCTCCCTTTAAAAACCCAATGTGGCTTTTGCTTTCTGGGTTAGATGTTCAGGTCACGTGATGCTTTCCCATTCCAGGGATTGTAGACACCCTCTATCCAGGAAGACATACACAAGTGTAGGTTTGAGCACAGGAACTCTTCTTAAAATTTTATTCACAGCAAGGTTTGACACCTGGAGAAGTTTCTGCCATCAGAGTGAGGGCTAAAGTACACATGGGAGCTGGAGTGAATGGAACCAGCAGAATGTTTGGTTTCTTTTTCTTCTCCCTGCAAGGGCAGGGGAGATGGGCCTTGTAGTCTTTGCAGCTGGGTCAGTTTACATGGAAGAAAATGATTGGAAAGACAAAGAATACAGGTGAATCACCTCCATGCTTCCAGGGAAACCAGTCCAGCAAGGTCTTTCTGCCTGCCTGGAGTCTAAGTTCTTACTTTTGATGCCAAAGCATTAAGCCTACCTTTACCCTTTGGAACCAGTAGGAGTAGAAAGGGATATACCATGATATTCTGCCATTTTCATAAACCTCTCTAAACTTAGTGCTCTCAGAGAGGTCTGTGGATATCTTGTGATGATCTCCATCCTTAAGGCTGAAATCTTCAGCAAAGGGGGAAGCCACCGTCTGTGCCCACCAATATGGATGGGCACAAACAGCAGGAAAAGAGAATTCCAATGGCCTAACCAGCAGCTTTGGCCTAGAGGATGGTCCTGTTGCTGCTTTGGGCTTCACAAGAGAGAAATGCCTTTCCTCCTTCTGTGCCAGTGAACTTTGCTTCAAGTCTTATCACCTGGCCCAAGGTGACTGGACTACCATAGAGCAGTAAATGAGAGCAGCTCATGGGCTGGTCTCTAAGATATAGATGGGTAACTGTCAGGGTGGCCTGTGTCTCTATCAGAATGGGGTCCTCAGATCCTATTCCAAGGGCTGAGATGTCAGCAGTAACAGAAGATGAGCTGTAAGCCAAGCCCAGACAGTGTTGTATTATGTTCAAACCATGAATCACTCCATCAACATTTTGGCACACCAGTTCCCCATCTTGTGGAAAAATCAGACTCTTCTTTTACTGTTGTCTTCCCACACAGGAATTTTATGCAACATTGTTGCTACACATAAGCACATATTTTCTGGTCATGATTCTCCCACATCCTAACTGGTGTGAATTGCCCACAGGGATGAGAACCCACTTTGCAGAAACTACTTTGCCATTTGCCTACTATCAAGTAGCTCTACCCACAGGGGAGAGATTTCATCTTTGACAGAATGACTGTATTTATTTATAAAACAGCATCCCCTATGTGATGGTCAATTTTATGTATCAACTTGGCTATTATACCCCAGTTTTTAACTTAAACACTTCTCTAGGTGTGGCTGTGAAAATATTTTGTAGATGTTGTTAACACCATAAATTGACTTCAAATAAAGGAGATTATCTTCCATAATCTGTGAAGGCCCCTCAGTTGAAGGTCTTTATGAACAAAACTGAGGCTTCCCCCAAGAAAGCAGAAATTCTGCCTCAAGACTGCACCACCAGTTCCTGCCCTCTTCCTTGGATGGCAGAGGGTATGGGCTGCATTCAGATCTTCTCCCAAGAGACCACTGAGGCAGAGGAGTATAGTACAAATTCCTGCATTTGGTTCTGTCGATGACCCAACAACGTGTATATTTACCTCAAATCCTTATTTGTCAACTTGAAGGTAACATTACCTAACCTCCCAGGATTATTGTAAAGAGCAAATAAAACAATGTATATAGAAGTGTTTCGTAGAGAGATAATAAAATGTGAGAAATCATCATTACACAGGGGCTCAGTAATTACTTGTAAACTAAGTTAAGTATTTATTTATAAGCATCTTGATCAGTTTTCTCTCAACCGTAGGCAGTGAAACATAGTTCATCATCATTCTATGTAGAATATTTATAATAGAATATTTATATGCACATTATTTATTTATTGTGGTACTGGGGTTTAAACACAGGGCCTCACATATGCTAGGCAAGCACTGACCTAAATTTCCAGCCCTTTTTTAAAAATGTTAATTTTGAGAAAGAGTCTTGCTACATTGCCCAGGCTGGCCTCAAGCTCATGATCCTCCTGCCTCAACCTCCTAAGTAGCTGGGATTACAGGTGTGAGCCACACAGTAAGTCATCTTCAAGCTTCAGGTCCTTGGGAAGAAGAATCATCTAAAAAGTTCAGATTGCTCCATGTAAAAAATCAAAAGCAGAAAACTCTTTGCTATCAGTATTGTTGCGTGAATCTTTATTTCCCACCATAACACGTGGAATGACCCTCTACCAGCCTATTTCTAACTTGAACCCAGACAAGGAAACAGACCTCCTGAAGGGGATGGTCATTGTTCCTGTAAAGACTGTTGGCTGTCATGAAAAACGTGGTGTCTATCATGGTCCTTGGTGCACCTCCATGGATAATCCGGTAGGGCCACATGAAGGGAGAAAGGGAAGAAGCAGGCCTTGTCCTCCACATGGCCAGGTGCTGGTGAAGTACCATAGTACTGTCCCACTCGGTGTGGAGCAGATGAATTGGGAACAAAACAAATGCAAAGAAAAGACCAAGGTGTGTTGAGGGAGTTGTACCTGCTCAAACAGGGCAAGCCCTCTGCCCCAGCTTCACCCTCACTCTCAAATTCTGATGGATCTGTGTTCCCTCCTGAATTTTTGTCAATATAATGGTGCAGAGAAAATAGCACCAGCTCTGCAGGCAAACACCTGACTCTCGATCCTACATTTCTAACCAGTTGGGTCATCTGTTGATTCATTTCTAAAGCAGGAAAAAACACTCTCTTCTAAAAGTTCCTGTGACCATTACCTTAACATAGCCAAGGCTGGCAGAGGGAGGGGGCAGGCCCTGGGTTTGATCCCCAGTTGGGTTGGGGAGTTAACATAGCCCAAATTCTTGGTGGTACAGGGTTTGGCATGTGGCCGCCACTGAATGAGAATAGTTTCCCCCTTCTCATTCTTAAGGTCCACTGCTTACTCCTCTACAGTTTAGGAGGGTGGATATCAAAGGGGGAGAATTCCCATAGAAGTATAGGACACACCCTGGACCAGTGGCTGGGAGAGTTTTCTACCCAGGGAGCTGGTAGAATGAGGCCTGTCTCCTCTGCATTTCGGTAAACAAGAACTTGGTAGCTGCTTTCCAACTGGCCCTGCTGGCTGGGATGGCCATCTGTGCCTTACCCAGGCAGCCCTTCCAGCCGGGGCCTAGGCTGGAACAAGCAGATACACTGCTTCTGTGAGTCACTGTAGAAGAGGACGTACTCAAAGCCAGGTCTTTCTGTCTGTGTGAACCTAAGCAAGAGCATCTTCTATCATTTGGACTAGAAAAAAGGTCCAGATCTGTAAGAGAACCTCAGGATGGTGTCTGTCCCTTAGGATGGTCCAGATCAGAAGGCACTTGACCAGAGGAGGACCTCGGGAAAGCCCTCTTCCCTCAGGATTCCTTCAAGCAAAAGAGATGCTTTCAGGAAGGGGAAGCAGTCAGTGGTGTAAGGGTCACAGAGGAGGAGTGAGCTGTTCGTGAAATCAGGATGCTACTGTTTCTATCAACCAATTGGGAAATACTAATCTGACATGCACGGATTTGGGCGGATCAAGGAAGGAGCAGAAGTGAATTCTTTCTTTAGTGTGAACAAGTGTATCCCCTCCTCTAATACCCACAGGTTTGGGGGTCTGTTCAAATGAGGTCTGTCTATAGAGAAGGACCTCCAAGAGAGATTAGCAGGTTTATAGGACTTAATTAGCAGTCTTGAGTGAAATCTCCAGTATATAAAATCCAAATACAAAAAACTCCCTAAATTTTACCAAGAATCTTAAGACAGAATTTCTAGATTAGTAGTTTTCCAGCTGCTGCCCCCTACCCCCGATTTTATATGCTATATTCTCTTTCCTCCCTTTCTTTTTTGTCCATCATTCTTTATCCAATCAGGACTCAGCTCAAATAGACCACTAGAGGGAGCTTGTGTCCTGTCCCCAACAGATCCTGGTTACACCAGGGTGAAGGCACTGTCCTCTTAATCCTGGTCCACAGGGCGTGGCTGGCTCTAGGTGGGGCAGTAAGGCGGTCAGTCTGAGAAGCACTGGGCCTGTGTGAGCAGAACAGTGGATTTACTGGCCCATGTGGGAGGTAGAGTAGGAAGAGCCCAGGACTTGGGGATATCCTACACTTGGGATTCCAGATCGGCAGTCTCTTAGGTTAACTATACTCCTCTCTTTCTCCCTTATCAAATAAATTTTAATGCTACTTTCTGGTTACAATAGACCCCAATCATAACATAACAACTGATGAATTTCTTCCTCAGGTTAGAATTAGCTTAGTTTAATTTAGCTTAGTTTAGTGCTGGGGATTGAACCAAGAGGCTTTTTACCACCAAGCTATATCCCCAGTCCTATTATTATTATTATTATTATTATTATTATTATTATTATTATTATTATTATTATTATTTGTGTGTGTGTGTGTGTGTGTGTGTGTGTTTT